GCCCTGACCCCGCAGAAGCGTGGAAGAGCTGGGACCGCCTCTCATGCCCCGCCCACCGGAGGCCCCGCCCCGCCCCGCCGGCTCCCCGGGCGCGGAACCTCGGGCCTCTGCGGGCCGCTGTCCCAGGATGTGCGGCCCCGCCCGCGGCTCCAACGCCGGCAGAAGCCGCAGGCTCAGCTGCGCGGCCCAGCGGGGCCCTCGGGACGCGGCCCCACCTCCCGCCGCTGGGTTTCTCCGTGAGGATTGTCTGCGGCTGCGCGGAGGAGCTGCGGCATCAACCAGGCGCAGGCAGAGAACAGCCACGCAGCGGGCCCTATAGCTCAGGGGTTAGAGCACTGGTCTTGTAAACCAGGGGTCGCGAGTTCAAATCTCGCTGGGGCCTGGCTCGGGTTTCTTCCCCTTTTTATAATCTACAGGTGGAAACGCTTAAGGTGCCGGCTTTTCAGGGGTGGGAGGCTGCCGGAAGTTCCCAGGTCTGGGCCCCGCCGGTGTCAGCCCCACGGCCCTCCCTTGGGCCGCACACCTCTTGCAGCCACACTTGGCGTCGGCCTTGCGGTCTCTGAGTCCAGCTGCCCCGCTCCTGCCCCGCGGCCCCTCGCGCGCTACCGACGAGCTCGTGGCGAGTCGCTCCGTACCCCGGGGGGTCGGGGGAGGCAAGGCTCTCACCCTTTCATCTCCGCTGCCGGAGACCACCTGTCAGCGCCCCTCCCGCCCCCGGGAACCTCCTGCTTTAGTTGGGAGGGCGACCGAGAATTCCCGCAAAACTCGCCGCTGGCCTCGCCACGTGGCTTCTGCAGGACCCGGCTTTGCGGGGCGGCAGGCACGTGGGGCCAACCAATCCCGGGGCCGAAGTCCGGGGCGAACGGTGCCCCTCTCCACGCACCCCGCCTGCCCCGTTCACTCTCCACGCACCCCGCCTGCCCCGTTCACGGCCTCCTCTGCGCCTCCCCAGGTTTCTTTCTTTCTTTCTTCTTTCTTCTTTCTTTCTTTCTTTCTTTCTTTCTTTCTTTCTTTCTTTCTTTCTTTCTTTCTTTCTTTCTTTCTTTCTTTCTTTCTTTCTTTCTTTCTTTCTCTTTCTTTCTTTCTTTCTTTCTTTCTTTCTTTCTTTCTTTTTCTTTCTTTCTTTTTCTTTCTTTCTTCTTTCTTTCTTTCTTTCTTTCTTTCTTTCTTTCTTTCTTCTTTCTTTCTTTCTTCTTTCTTTCTTTCTTTCTTTCTTTCTTTCTTCTTTCTTTCTTTCTTTCTTTCTTCTTTCTTCTTTCTTTCTTTCTTTCTTTCTTTCTTTCTTTCTTTTTCTTTCTTCTTTCTATCTTTCTTTCTTTCTTTCTTTCTTCTTTCTTTTTCTTCTTTCTTTCTTTCTTTCTTTCTCTCTCTCTCTTTCTTCTCTCTTTCTTTCTTTCTTTCTTTCTTTCTTTCTTTCTTTTTCTTTCTTTCTTCTTTCTTCTTTCTTTCTCTTTCTTCCTTCCTTCCTTCCTTCCTTCCTTCCTTCCTTCCTTCCTTCCTTCTCTCTTTTTTTTTAAATTCTCTCCTGAGGATATTAAATCAACATATATGCAGAAGGTCAGCATATATTAGTTGTATTTTTGTGGATTTTAAAGAGAGAGGAAGGAGGAGGGAGGGAGGGAGGGAGAGAGAGAGAAACGCTGATCGGTGGCCTCACGCACCGCTCCCCCCACCCCCGCAGGGCCCAGCTTCGGTTCCCTAACCCGCAGCGGCGCTAAGTGCAGCCGGGAGTCGGCGGTGTCCCCCGCGGGGCTGCGACAGGCCCAGGGCCTTCCGGAGGGTCCACGCTGGTTGGGGGTGGGGGTGGAGGTGGGGGGTGCAGCAGGACATGTCGCCTCTGCCTCTGCCGAGGTCCCCCCGCGGGTCGTGCCCGCCTGGGCGGCGGGAGGGCGCCCGAGACCCCAGCGGCCTGGCCGGCCCCGGGGCAGCGCCCCTTCCACCGCTCGCTGGGGATTTAGGCTCATTTGTACCTTGACTTCCTTACCAGCGCAAACTAAGAAATCAGCGTCAGAAGGCCAGCGTGTATTAGCTGTGAAGGGTTTTGGTTTGTTTACAGGACAAACCTGAATGGTTAAAAAAAAAAAAAGACTGGGAGCGACTGTGACAAATTTATAGACTTCGGGTCCGCTGTGACGGGGTGGACGTGGGTTTAAGTCATTCCAGGGAAGACAAGCAGATGCTGCCGTCCCGGGGGCGATCTGACCCGGAGGCCTCGGGCGCCGAGCGGAGGGGCGCCCGCCAGCTCTTATCCCGAGCGGGGGGCGCGGGGGGTTCGGGTGCGGGGGGGCGCGGGGGGGCGCGGGTGCGGAGGGGCGCGGGCGTCTAGGTCCTTGCAGAGGCCGCGAGGGAGCCGCGAGTTGCGGTCGCTCCCGGCGCCGAGCCAGAGCGCCGACATGGCAATGGGAAAAGTCAGCACCTTTTCCCTGGAGCAGGTCAGCCACCTCGCGTCCCCCGCACTTGTAACAGCCAGCTGGTGGCACAAAAATAAACGTTTTGGGCCAGCTTGGCGTGAATTTTGTGAAATCTGCTGCAGGGAATCGGAATCACTTTTACTCCTGAACAACCAGTCGTGTCCAAGTCCTTTGGGAAGAGCAGGTCCGAGAGGAGTGGTGAGGGGGCGCCGCACGGCCGCTGGTTCCCCGGGGAAGGATGGCGGCTCCGTCCCGGCGGTCCCGGGAGGGCCGAGCGCCGGGCACCTGCCTGGGCTCCGCGGGTGCGTGCGCGCTGGTGCCAGCCTTGGGGAGCGAGGTTCCCGGCCATCTCATGTCTGCCTTACACTTCCCTACATTTCCTGAACACGTGGCAAATAACTATGTGTTGTTTTTAAAATATTTTCATAAGACGATACCAGGCAGCCCACATGAAGAGGCGGCCCCGGTTTCA